TAAAACAGACAGGCAATGGATAAAGAGAGCCAGATTCATGACACTCTACACTGCACTTGTCTTTACAGGTCATCTGCGTATTATATGGATTTTCTTCTCAGGGATTTGTTCTGGTGATAATGTATAGCCCACATAAAATTTTACATAACCATTATATATAAATATAGTGAAGTTGAACATAAAACTTGATAAATTACCTTAAAATGGCTGAATGCTTACCTAAAAGGTCTTTGAACTTCATATTATTAAAAAATTATTGACTCACAGATATCACTGAATTTTTTTTTGATATATAATAAAACCCTGGATATAGTTTCTAGAAAAAACATAAGATGATGAAAAGTAGAGAAAAGAGACAAATGGGCTTGGGAATGTGGAACCTAAGGCAGATAACAGACAAATGTCCTGTGTTTCCCTCTTCATAGATCTCAGCTTTGGAAGTAAAAAAACTGGCAGGTCCAAAACAACAAATGCAGACCAGAAATTCTCCAATGAAACCTATTCTCGTTATCCAAAGAATGAGGAAAGGGACAGTGTATCAAGACAAAGTTGCCTTGCTGTATTTTGGCCAAACACCCCCATACACACACACACGTGAGCACAGTCTACAACAACATCATGACAATGATGTCCAAGCAGTGGGGTTTGGAACAATACTTTTCCTCCTCCTTTGACAAAGGAGCCAGGCAAGAGTAATTTAAAACCACTCCACAGTGTTTCTGCCCACTTATAAAATTGATGGCCATTCCTAGTTTGCATGATGATTTAAATTAGAATCTATATATGAGCAAAGAATACCAAGGGAAAAAATGGAAAAAAAAAAGAGGAGGAAAAGGGTAAAAGAGGAATAAGGACATATCTGTGTCTCAAAAATATATGCAGAAGCAAAATTCCTAAATAAAGAAGCAACAAATAACATTCATCAATATATAAAGGGAACTATATATACAGATGGGTTTATGTCAAAGGTAAAATGCTGGTACATTACTTGAAAATAAATGATGTAATATACCACATTGAAAATCTGAGGAGGAAATATTGCATGATCGAATGCTTTGATACAGAAAATAATTTGAAAAGTTTAACCCTCATTTCTATTTTTTAAATCTTAGAAAAACAAGAATAGAGAGGAAATTTCTCAACTTGATAGATGTCATCTACACAAGTAATATACCTGGGCCAGGGATTTAGCTCAGTGGTTCTGCCACCTGCCTTGCAAGCACAAGGACCCAAGTTTGATCCCTGGTACCAAACCAAACCAAGCAAACAAAGTAATATACCTACCAGTATACTTAGTCATGGAATATTTAATGCTTTCCAAATAGTCTGGGAAACAAAGGAAGTTCTAAAAATCATAATAAGGAGAAAAGAAAAATATATATATACACACATATATATATGTCTATATCTATATCTATATGTATATGTGTGTGTGTGTGTGTGTGTGTGTGTGTGTATTACCCCTGTTCACAGAGGACATGGTTGTCTGATAGCATTTCCATTGAGTTTACAAAAACAAACAAACAAATGCTGAAAATAAGTGAATCCAGTATGATCTCGCTACTTTCTGAGGCAGTTCTGGAAGTCCTCTTCTGTGAATGTCTTTAGGAAGTAAGATGAAAAATACGGGGCGAGTGCTATTGCCAGTCTCATCCAGCAGAAAGGCCACTTGTAGAACCATTGTAGTGCTCTTCCACCTTATTAATGGGAACTGAGACCACAGCAACTTCTGGCTGTTCATCACAGTCAAAATGACCATGGAGTGTAATGTTCTTAATAGATTCAGGGCATCAAGGCTGTCACAGGAGTGCAACTAAAAACACTCGTGACAGGACATTTAGAACCGCTTCAGTGGCAAGAATGAAGGGGTGAATGTATTCAGGGTGAAGTGGAATGAATACATATATATTACACTGTAACTAATTGTTTGAATTTAAACATTCACTGTGTTTGGGGATCGCATCTTGTACATGGCATACTGTCTTCATGAATCTGAAGGCTGAAATCATAAAAATTCTCTCCAAGTTGATGTGCATTTTTATCATGATAAGGATCAGAATCACAGCAAGGTTTTTGAGATATAGGCAAGATTTTTATAAAATTCATATTGAATGGTAAACAAGCTAGCTGGCTGAAATAAATTTAGGGAGAAAATAAGTGATAACATTCAGTTAACATAATTTAAAACTTATTACATATCTATAGTACGACCATGTGATACTGGTGCAGAGATAAACACATCAACCAACAAAATCCAATGGAGAATCCTAAAATAACCCTCAACTGACACATATGCCCAACTGATAGTCCCAATATGATAACCCCAATGGGTCAATATGCCAAACTGATTTTTGATAATAGTGTAAAAACAATTCAATGGAAGAAACATAGCTTTCAGAGCAAATGGTGCTGGAGCATATAATGCTGCATGCTTGTAATCCTAAGCACTCAGGAGGCTGAGACAGGAGAATCACTGTGAGTTCCAGGCCAGCTTGTGCTACGTAGTAAGTTCAAGGCCAGCCTGGACTATATAAGGAGGCATTTGTCTTAAAATAAAATAAATAACATAAAATAAATGGCACTGGAACAAATAAATATCCATAGTCCAAAATTGTATCTTAATATAATTTTGACACCTTATGTAAACTTTGACTGAAACAGCCCTAAGTTTAAATGTAAAGTGTAAAGCTATAAAATTGTTATTTATAAAATTAGAAGGTACTGGGGTATAGCTAAATCACAGAGTGCTTGTCTAGCATGCATGAGTATCTAAGTACCTCAGCACAATGAAAATAAATAAATTTGATTAAGAGATTATTTGGAATCAGAGGATAAGTGAAGAAAACTGAGACATGATGTCAAAAGTACAGTTCATAAAGGGAAAATTAATACATTTTGTTTCATCAAAATTAAAACATTTTAAGGTCCGGGGATTTAGCTCAGTGGTTCGGTGGCCTGAGTTCAATTAAGGACCGGAGTTCAATCCCCGGTACCAGAAAAAAATTAAAACATTTTCTCTGCTACATTTCCTATTAAAGGATAAACATCCAGGCTACAGATTAGAAGGAAGATTTTCTAATCAGACAGGTAAAATTATATAATTGAGTAGAGTATATAAAGTATTCTAAACTGTTTTAAAAGTAGTGGGTATCCAGATGTAGACAGGTAACCCACCAAAGTGTGTGTGAAGTAAACATATTTTCACAGGTTTTGCGGAAGTTCTCTCTGATTACATTACATTGACATGCCCAGCGCTGTCCCAGGCTAGCTCGCAGGTGCCCTTGCCATAAAATCCCACATTCTTTAAAATAAAACTAGTGATTAAGGGGTGACAAATGAGATTTTAAATGTTCCTGCTTTTTTGAGAATTCTTAACATTTCATAAACACCACGTACATGCAATTGTATTTCAGAAGCCTTGAATAATAGTAGCAGATACTGGAGTAAAATTGAAGTCTTTACTGACACTTGTTATTCAACATCTATATCTACATCCCTTTAATAAAATTGTGTGATATAACATAAATAGTGATATAATAAATAAGTGTCATTGAGGGGAGAGGATAACAGAAATGGTGAACCTAATTGGCAACTGTAGGTGGGAGTAGAGACTGGTGCAACCACTATGGAAATCAATATGGAGACACCTTAAAGAGCTTGGACTGAAGGTTCCATTTGATCCAGCCATCCCTCTGCTGGGTATCTTTCCAAAAGAACTAAAAGAATCGTATCACAGTGATATATGCACACTATGTTTATAGCAGCACAGTTTGTAATAGCTAAAACTTGGAAACAGCTCATTTGCCCATCAGTTGGAGACTGGATAAAGAAGATGTGGTTTTTCTATAAAATGGAATACTACTCAGCCATAAAGAATGAGAAATTAGATTCATTCATAGGAAAATGGATACATTTTGAGGAAATATTCCCAAGTGAAATAAATAAGTCACACATGTGTAAATACTGAATAGTTTCTCTGGTGTGAAAAACTGTAAGAGTACATAAGATCCTAAAGAGATAATTGACCATGTGAAATAGGAAGAATAGGGCTAAAGGTGTAGGGAAAGTGGGAAGGGTAGGGGAAAGGAAATAAGGGAAAAGAAAAAAATATGAGAAAATGAAAAAATGGAAATAAAGTATTCGTAAATAGGGAAGGGAGGAGGGGGTGAAGGGATGGCAGGGATAAGAGGAAAAAATGAGAACCAAGACCTGTCATGTAAAGGTACAAGATCCCAATGATGAATGTAACTGTACTGTATCCCTAAAATGTACCAATAAACTCAATGAGGGAAATAAATAAAAAATAAAATGTTCTCAAAATTTACTTAGCTATTTTCACATCAAAACAAAACAGAAATAAGGCTAAAGGCCATTGTCACTACTTCAAGCTCTGTGCTGTACTTCCTAATAACTGACCCCTGCAAGTGGTGGACCCTTCTTCGATGCATTTCCTTCCATGTGCCAACCTGACTGATACCCAAGTAGTTTTACTCAGTCTGCAGCAGAGTCCTGCAAAACCTTACATTGTTTTTCTAATCTCCTTCCTACCTTCTATATATTTTCTTCAATTTTAATCTTCCCTTATGATTTTTCTTTGCTTAATGATAGAATCATTTCTTCTATTTCCTTACGAAGCTCTCAAATGCAAATGAATCCAAAGTCTGGTATTTTTATTAATGGAACAAAGTGTTGGCTTAGGAAAGGTATGGATTGGTTCTTATCTTGGAAGCTTAATTCAATCACCTCTCCTCAGTATAGTTTCCTTATTGACAATTTGATTTTGTTCAGCATTATGAGAAATGCAACATTAAGTACATACTTAGTAAATAGAGCTCTGTAACATGGAGGACGTTGGAGGTGGTTGGGACATGGTAACTGGAGAGACAACCAAAGGTGTTTGGCACAGATCTCTTTCAAACAAGTGTAAAGTTGTTTAGCTTCCCTTTGAAAAGTGTAAGTTCTGACATGTATCTTTCCCCTGCTTTTGGTGTGTTTTGCAGCTGCAGAAGGAATGGTGTGTAACCAGCTGTGTTCTAGCGATGGCTGTTGGGGACCTGGGCCAGACCAGTGCCTGTCCTGCCGCCGCTTCAGCAGAGGAAGGATCTGCATAGAGTCTTGTAACCTCTATGATGGGTAAGGCATCACATGAGGCCACCATTACCTCATGAGCTGAGAGGCATGGAGGAGCTCAGATTTTTAAAACGGTAAAAAAGAATGAGCAAGATTTCAGAATGCACATGCAGGTCAAGATATTCTAGGAAAACTCCTATTGCATAAAGATATAACCTATAGAATTGTTTTCAGGGGAAATAATTTGTTTTAAATTAGTCCACATATAAATTGAATGATTTCATACGTAAAGCCCATTATGTACATTTAAAATTTTTTTCTTAGATAATTCTTGGGAAATGATAGCAATTTATACTTTAGCAAAATGTTAAAATACATGTTCCAATTTTCCTTATGTGGAAGGCTGTTTTAAGTACTCTTCCCTTCTGGAGGTCATAATCATCTGGTGGGATTTTTCCTCCTCGTGCTTTTCATCTACAGTTAAAGCACTCACTTTTCCTTCTTTCCACTCAGGCTGTGTATCTGTTTGTGTTGTAGGAAAGGTCCATGTTTCTGTCTTTGACAGTTGTTCAGACTAGGAAACTATGTCTATAGTTTCTATTTGAAGAGGTTTTTAAAGGTGTTCTACCACTTTCTAGATCGCTTGAGCAATATTTTAAGTCAAGTGTTTTAAATTCCCTCTGGTACTGCAATAATCATATTGCCAGTAATAAAACCTGGTATGCACCTCACTGCATGGCATTTTGTATACTCCTAAAGCCACTTTATGCACCACAGTTGCCTTTTATTAGGGAGGCAATGCATTTTTAGGAGTTTCCCCAAGTCAAGTTTTCTCATATTGATAAACTGAAAGCATTTTGAGCCATTTTTGGAAAATATAGCTTTAGAGCTTTTCATTTTATTTCTTCTTGTGCCTCAATACTTGTCTCATTTTAACATCTATTTCCATAATCCCCAATAGCACTGCAGCTTTGCATTTTGTATTAGAAGGAAAAAGTCTATTTCTACTAGTTTATAGTAATTTATTTATGTTAATTTGTAGTAAATTATTTATAGTAATCATGCTGGTACATATCTTCTTTAAAAGATGACCAAAATGAATTTCCTTCATGAAATTTAAGGGAAAAATTAAAATTAAAGGTTAAATATAAAGATGATTTTTAAGTAAGGACTTAACCATTTTCAGGAATATTTCAGCTTATAATTTTATATGGTATAGTAAGCTTGTATTTTTAACAATGAACAGAAAACAGATGTGTCTTGTCTCACGGAATTGTTCATAGAATGATAGGAAGTTCTCTGTATGTAAAGAACCTCACATTAAATATGTTTGCATGTGCAGCAATTGATGTCATTAAAATAAACCATCAATCATTTTGGTTACATTAAGTAAGTCTTATGTTACAACTTTATTAAAGAAGTGAACAGATACTTCACAGAAGAAGAAATACAAATGATCAATAAGTATACAAAAACTTTTTCAACATCTGTGGCCATTAGAGAAAGGTAAATTAAAACAAAGATTCCATCTTACTCCAGAAAGAACGGCAAACATAAGAAGTCAAACAATAACAAATGCTAGCATGGCTGTGGTGAAAAGGAACCCTCCTTCATTGTTGGTAGGCATGGTAACCGGTACAACCATTACAGAAACCAGTATGGAAATTTCTGAAAGAATTTAAATTTGAAATTCCAGATGACTCAACTATCGCCCTGTTCGACATCCTCCTCCGTAGAGAGTTTGAGTCATTATACTGCAGTGATACATGCATACCAATGTTTGCAGCAGCATGACTCATAATAGCTAAATCCTGGGAGCGGCCTGTTTACTCATCAACAGACAGGTGGATGAAGAAATTGTGGTATCTACGTATAAGAGAATACTATTTAGCTGCAAAGAATGACAAATTTGTGACATTTTAGGGAAATGGATCATCTAGGAAAATATGATGTTGAGTGAAATAAACCAAACAGACAACCTTAAATACCCTATGGTATCTCTCATTTGAGTGAGGAAAAATGCAAACAAAAAATTAATAAAGGATGATAGGAAAGGACAAGGGGATGGATTTGTTGCAGTAGGGAAGTGGTCCAAGGAAACAAGGGCAAGGAGTGAGGAGGAGGGGAGGAGAAATAAGTGGACTAAAAATATGCCATGTACAGGAAGCTAATAACTTCAGTAAATGTAAGCATTATATGCCATAGCATGAGCTATGATTAATGGTATCAGCAAGAATACAAAATGGAACAGAGGAATTGGAGGAGGAGAGATGGATGCAGGAGAAGGGAAGAAGGGGATAAAAAAAAAAGCTTTAGCAAGTACATGTAAGCACTCCCCAGAGGACTGTAAACATTATGAACTACAAAGAAGCACTAATAAAATTAAAGAATTTAAAGTTCCTCAAATATGTATCTGTAGTTCTAAAGAAGGAAGAGATTTCCGAAATTGTTTTATCTAACATTAACATCTTATAAATATAATGTGATTAAATTTTGGTTAATATCACAGCACTAAAAAAAAATCAAGCCAGCACAAGAACTCAGGACCTCAGATTTTCTTCCCTTTATTTTTCAGAATGTCATTTTTTCTAAATATTTCAGTGTCAATGTTGTCAGAAATATGAAACATAAATATGTGGATGTATATACTGTGCTTTGTCACATTTCTACAAAACAGTAAAAGTAAACCAAAAGAAAAAGACAGGTTTCCTAAATAAACACTTGTTACTACACTATATTTTGTTATTAAGCATTTTTTCCATTTACATCAGTTAATCAAATCTATTAAATTTTTAAATGTTTAATGAGCACAGTGGAGTAGTAATGGTGCCCTAAGAAATCATGACCATAGTGTTATCTTGAAAGATAATAAATGTAAATATCCTGTAAATGTAGATGTTGGATTCACTTCTTGCTTGGCCAGTGATGAATTCTCACCTCCCATCTTGTGCTACAATCTAGTTCCTTTCAAAACTGGTTGGCTAAGGTGAACTTTGAGGAAAACTGACCTTGACTTCATTTTTTATGTCCAAACTTTAACAAAACTATAATCATTCTAAACCTGGGTTTCTTTTCGTTTCTTCTTTTTTTTTCCTTTTCTTTTGTTCTTGAGATGAGATCTGGCTATGTGACCCTTGCTGGCCTTGAACACTTTGGCTTCGCTGACCCTGTTCCCTCAGTTTCCTGAGCAGCAAGAAGTACAGTTACATGTGGTTTCCTACGTAAAAAGCGGGAATGATAAGAGTGACACATTTATAGGATACTTGTGATTATCAAATGAGAAAGTGTGGAATAAGTGCTTGTAAAAGTTCCTGCCATGAATATTATCATTATTTCCATTTTGTCTATTAATTGCAGCCAATTAAATATTTAACTAAAACGGTTATCTTGAGAACTGCTGAAAATAGTCAAATTCAAAAACACATTTAACAAAATTAAGAGAGTCTTATCTATCATATCCATCTATCTTTCTATCTGGAAACTAGAAAAGAAAAAAATCCCCAAAATAGGACTTCTTGAAGGAGAAAAATTTAATCAATTTCTGTCTGATTATAATTCAAATCCCGATCATATAATTCACTGTGCTTTAGAAAGTCTTGACTTGGATGCATAATCAATCAAAATGAAGAGAAAGATAATTGCAATGAAACTTTAAAACTTTTTCTACCTGGCAACTCTTCTGAAAAGTTAAGATCAGCACAGAAACATAAAAGAGTATCCCAGTTTAAAATCTTTTTGCAAGGCAGGCACAGTGCCACTGAGCTAAATCCCTGGCCCCCTGGTGTAAAATCTTTATAGTCATTTTCATATTTAAGATTCACAACCTCTCAATGCAACATTATTTTCCCCTTTTATTGGGGATATTTAGAAAACTAAGGCTCAGAGATGTTAGAATACTTTAGGTATAGAAATATGTGTTGATGATAGAATTTAAATTTGGGGAATACTATATGCCGCAGTATTCACTCTTGGTTATAGGATTGGGTAATCTACTCTGTGTACCACAGCATTAAAAAAAAAGAAAAGAAAAGAACAAAACTCTGTATGCAAAGCTGAGGCTCAAAAGAATGTAATTTGTTAGATCAGATTTAAAGGAAAGAAGAACTCTGACAAATTTGCAGTATGTCATTGGAGGACAGAGAAAGAAGAAAGGGCAATGATGGAAACTGAGAATAAAGGGCAAGAGATCGATTTAAGAAGGGCAGCAAGAAGGAACTTTTATGAAAGTAGAAAGGAAGAGAGCCAGAAGCTACATAATCAGAAATCTGGAAGGCAACACGTGCTATCCATGTTTTCATGGTATGCATTTACTCCTCCACTGCATGGATGGAAGAATGGGTTTTGAAGCAAGAGTAAGAAAAGAATAATTTTAGGAACAAAATATTATGGCCTTTTTTTGGTAGTATAACTCTTTCACGGCCCAAGAAACTACACACAAAAGCCAGTAATTAGGTAAAGATCATAGACTGCTGTCGTAAAATTTGATTAAAATCATTGTGTTTGATTCTCTTTACAACTGCACTATGCTCATGCCAGGTCATGGTGACCTTTATATTCTGAGGCATGACATAGAGTAGTTTATATCACTCGTGTCAATGTGGCATACAGAGGAAAGCCTGTTTTTTCTAGTTAAGATTTTAAACAGGAAAATTCATAAAAGCTTTGATCTCTAACAGCTATAGCTCACTTTAAAAATGCAAAAGTCATGCAACTAAATATGTTACTCTTACATTTATGCTATTTGGTTTGAAAGCTAAACTTAATTATTTTCCCTTGGAATAAGTATAGCCTCAATTTAACCAATAGAAAACATAGATTAGCTTTTGATCTTTCATCCTAATTAAGGTATTTTGTCTTCAAATGAGAAAAAAATAAACTCTGCAATCTAAAATCAAATATGTAATTAATCAATAATTGCTTTATTTGTAATATTATTGATTTGGAAAGACAGTGCAGAATACAAAGACAAAAATAATAGATTAATTAAAATTATAAATAGTCAAATTTTGTTAATGATTCCTAGATGATATTTTACATTGTCTTTACACAGTACTCCATCCTCTTGTCTATTAGTGAAAATGAAGTGGCTTAAATATAAGGTAGATGATTTATATCCAGTTATTGAAATTAAAAAATTATAGTAGACTTTGGCTAAAAACTTTTGATGCTGATAACATTGTAATGCACAGACAGAAAAATGTAAGGGTATGGGAAGAAATTACCATCATGCCGGGAAATTTTAATTGGACAGTTTTAGGATGTAGACATCTTTTTTTCTTTTGTTTTTTTTTGGGGGGGGGTTATAACATATAGAATTACTTCAAAAAGAATTTAAGCTGAAGAAGTGTTATGATACTCAATCAATAATATAAGAAAATAAAATCTACCATAAAAAGATATTTTCTCTAATTCTCCAAGGCAGATATTTTAAAAGAAGAAAAGAAATCAAAGTGTGTTTTGAAGTTCCACCAAAAATAAATTGAAGAGACTTGGGATTTGAAGGACAAGGACAGGGAACATTCATGTAGCTTAGCAACAAGGAAAATACAGTTGTAGTTTCAGAGTTTAGAAATTAAAGCTTCAGCAAACAGTAAAATCTTATGTACAGACAAATATACACAGCCTTATCCAAAAGGTAAAATGATTCTGCTGTACCATCAGAAGAGTCACACTTATGTTTTTGCTTTAAAAAAAAAAAAAAAAAAAAAAAAAAAAAAAAGAGGGCCAGAATATCTCACAGGAAAGAGGTTTCTGGAATGAGTCTGTCGTTGATTCCAGTGGAGGGCGAGGAGAGCCATCTGGCTGCCGTTTATCTTGTCTCCTAATGGAAAACTTACTCCTTAATGGACAGGGAAATGTTTCTGATGCTCTTGGAGCATGACGAAACAAACTCGAGAATTTGCTCTGCTAATGCGACTTTCAGCAGATGTTGCTTCGCTTGTTAAGTTGACAGCGTGTTTGCTTTCGCCACCTCACGCAGCTGTATTTTCACAGTGAACTTCGGGAATTTGAGAATGGCTCTCTCTGTGTGGAGTGTGACGCCCAGTGTGAGAAGATGGAAGAGGGCCTCCTCACGTGCCATGGACCGGTAAGCGAGGACCTTCTGTGGGTGCCCCCTTATTCAGTCTCCCACGTGATGCTGTCATACCACCTTCTTATTATGTACTCATCCATTCAGCAGGTGTGTATAGGGTGCTACTGGGAAGCACATTGACTGCTCTTACCTGGAGAGGCTTGCGGTTTAGTAGTTGAGATAGAATATTTGAAAATTCACAGTCACAAATATTTATTTCCCAAAGAATATATTTATACAGAAGTATTAAACGTGAAGTTGTCTTGGGTGACAACACATCGTTGAAAAGAAAGATGTAAAATTAATTAGGTTGAAGTTTAATAAATGTGTGTAAATTGTTATAAGAAGGGAAATGAAGGAGAAACTAACTCTATCTTTGTTAGGTAGACGATGATGGAGACAAGAAAGAAAGGGACAGGGAAATAGTGCTTGATCTATGCTTTGAAGGATTTGGAAAAAAGGAAACATTTGGAAATACGCAAATGTGAAAGTTCATGTTGTATTTTAGGAAAATGAAAACACATTCTTACCTGCATTTAACCAGTTCCTATTAGGGAAGTGTGCAGGAGAGTAGAAAGAAAGAAGAAGCTACAATCTGAAGCAATATAATATTGTGGCGGATAAAAGAATTGAAAATCCATGAAGAACCAGTAGGATCAAGAAAGCCTTCATAGATAAGTTGCCACTTGTATAATTTGAAATTTTCCTTTGAGAGAAAAACCATACATGTTGTGTAGGCCTCTCTTTGGATTCCATCATCTGAGCTTTTCCTGAATAATAAGATCAATATCATTTTGTTTTTCCACAATATCATATTCATGCTTCTTTAGAAAAACTTCTAAATTTGTCCGTTCCTGCACCATTTTGCAATAGATAATGTGGGGATGAATATTTGGGTATAGGCAGGTACTCAACATTACACCATAAGAATTCTTTTAAAAATAGAAATTCTATTAATTTATATACCAGATGGCTTATTCATCAGTTAATTAGCTCAGAGAAAAATGTTGAGCTCTCCAAACTTCTGTTAGGCTCCACAGAACTGTTCTGGACATTCATCTAAAAAAAAAAAAAAAAAAAAAAAAAAAAAGATGTGGAAACTTGGAACATTTTAACTACCATAGGATGATTATCGAAAATCAGACCCCCAAGGAAAAGAAATAATGGTATTTGCTCCAACGAATCAAAGTCTAAAGGCAGTTTAATGCGTGATGATCCCCAGTAAGTACATAGGGCACATGTAGATTTTCTCTTTCTTCCTTATAAATAGCAACAGATAGTACAATTATCTGAAGTATGAGAAAGGTGGATTGATAAAGACCACTCTCATGTACAAAGAAATACATTTTGTAATTGGTTGTAAGAGCAAATTGAAACAGCAATATAAGTTCTTGCGAAAATAATACATTAGGTAACATCTTAGTGTCACAGAATGTGAAGTATCTCTTCCAGAGAGTCTGAAACTTTGAAAATAAATAAGAAATAGAATCAAGAATTCGACCATCTTTGAACAAAGCTGAGAATTATGTCTCTAAATTTAGTCAGTGTATACTGGGCATAGGTTTATAAAAATGTTATTTAAAAAAAAAATTGGAGCAATTGCCAAAACCTGTTTAACTTTTTTTCCCTTGGTATCGGCATTTGGACTTAGGACCTTAAGCTTGCAAAGTAGGAGCAATGCCACTGAGCTAAAACCCCACCCTCTCTTAAAATTTAATTGGTGAATTTTTATGGGTACTACTACTCTATACTAATATTTCCTATTTATTTCTTATTACTGTTGCCTACCTTATTTTTTCTTGACACATAAAATTTTTCTTTCCTTTTCCCTTGCATTGAACAGACCACTCTTAAGCTTTTACTCACCAATATTTTCAACACCTACTTTCAGTTAGGCTTCGTTAGTTTATCTGTTGCTGAGTTTTTTTATATCAACAGAAAAAAAACTAGTGTTTGAAAATCTTGACCAAAACTCACCACAGAGGCTTTCGTTACACAGCCTATTTTTTCAAATTAGTCTTTTCTTTATCTATTCCATTCTGTATATTGAAAATGAATTCTTTGGTATTTTGACCTTCCTTGCAATTACTACTTTTCAAGAAAGTGAAATATTCCTAAATGTCAATACTTTTAGCTCAATTAAGCATCTATTCATAAAAATAATCTGTTTATGACTAATTTTAAAGTATTAATATCTTTTTTTCTCCAGAGTAATTTCACGAGGAACATCCATTGTATGATAATTTAACATTATCTAGAAAAGACCTCAGTAACACCTCTTCAATACAACTATACTGGTTTTCATAAATGAAAATGTTCAATGATCCCTTTACCTACTAAAATAAAAATTATTATGATCATCATAAATCATACTCATGATTTAACACAATTTGTTTTTTGTGAGCTAGTTCTTAACTTTATCTTCATATACATTTTCTTTCACTGTCTTCCATTGTTTTTCTCTTATTGCTAGGATAATCAAAAAAATTCAGGAATTACAAGATGAATTGTTCATTGTCTATGAGACCATAATCCAACATCCAGTCTTAGGGTACTTGCTGTCTGTCACATACTCTTTCCATTCCTCCTGCTGCTTCTTGTACAAAATAACACTCCTTAATAACCCAATAAGCAGTTTAACAGAATTAATTTGTATGTTTTTTACAGTTGATTTGTTTATTAATTTAATCCTCAAAGGAATTGGGACAGTGTATACAAAATAAACATTAAAAAACTAAAAGTTAATGCTCTGGCAATTTTCAAAATGTTTGATAATTAAGAGGGAGTGAAAAATAAGGTTATGATGGACACATTTTTGTTCTATAAAGGCAGCAGTGGTTAGTCTAAGTAAAAAAGATTACTACCAGCACTAAAACTGTAGATTAATATGCCCAGAAGTTAGAGAAGGCAGTGAGTCAAAAGGATGAAAAGTTCAGTAAAGCTAGATTGGGCATCTGTGGAAACTAAGAGCGCACAATCAAGGAAGCCTAAATAAATGATCAGTGAGCCTTGAAATGCTAAACAGGTCAGAACTCAATATCTTTGAGAAAAGCTGCAAGGACTGAGCTCAAAAAATGGCCCAAATTTTGATCTCACTAGGGGGTTGCTTGCTTACAGCTTTTAGAAAAAGATTTTTGCTTTTTTCTGGGTCCACATGTTGATTATCTCAATTGGGACAGCGATGGTGTAGTATGCCAAATCAGAGGTATGTATCATTTAGAATACCCAAGAGTTTCTGGAAGCTTCTCTGGGAGAATGACATTGTGAGGAAACAGGAAGAAGTCAAACTAATTGGAAATCCCTTTCCTGTTGTTACGGTTTGTTAAGTCATGTTTCTTTAACCCGTCAATTTTTCTCTATTCTTAATAACTGCTGCCTATTTATGCTTACCAAGTAGTTAACTCTGAAACATTCTATAATTTTCCCCATTTAAAATATAAAGACATTGAATGTATAATGATTAGAAAATGAGTGCAAACCAATCAGTAGAATATGGAGCTATAGTTAGACCATAGAAATTCTGACTCTGAGTTTCTCACAGTTACAATTTCACTTTGATCTCCTAAGTACTAGTGTCTTTAGTGTGATAAAAATCAAGTATTTTGTGGGAATGTGATAGCTACATGTCAAAAGGAATGATATTATTCTATTTAAATATGACAGAAGTCTAGAATAATCTTGAGAGAACTACATTTGAAATAAAAGAAGTCCTTTTCATTTTTATCTTGATCTGTGCTTGGTTCTTTCAATTTAATTGAATTGTTTTAGTTTTACATTTTTATCCATTCTGTGTTACTTATTCCTGTACAGTATTATTGGAAAAAGTAAAGAAAGGAATGTGAGAGGAAAGATAAGTAAGGGAAATCAAAATTGCTAGAATCAAATATATATGCTACAAAAGGAGAAATTCTAGAGAAGAGATGGGGGACAGGTACTGATTTTTAAAATAGACTTTCACACAGGCCAAAATAGTCAGGGGAATAGCTTTTATTAATATAACAAATAACCCTCTTACTGCAGTAGCTCACAGAAAAAGATGTTTACGCCCCTTTTGTGTAGGATACACTGAAGTTCTTGGAAATATTTCAGTTCCCTTCTCCCTGTGAGGTCCTAGTATTTCAGGATTTACTGAATTCATGGCACTCTCTTTTTTTTTCTCTTTCTCTCTTTCTTTCCTTCCTTCCTTCCTTCCTTCTTTCTTTTCTTCCTTCTTTCCTCCCTCCCTTCCTCCCTCCCTTGCTTCCTTCCTTCTTTCTTTCTTGCATTGTTACTTCCTTGCTTCCTCGCTTTCTTTTTCAGTGCTGGGTATTGAACCTTTGCTGAGCCTTTGCACTGAGCCACCTTCCAGTTTGCTTTTGCTTTTTACTTTGAGATAGAATCTTGCGAAGTCACGAAGTTGTCGAGGATGGACTTGAACTAGTGATTCTCTGTATCAGCCTCCTAGAGGGATGTTATGGGCATAATGCCAGGATGCCCAGTTTCACCTTCATTTTCTGTGAATACATTGATCATAGCGTTGCTGCTGCTACCTTCTTAAACACTTTGGGAATAGCTAATGAAAGAGTAAAGCTTGGACACATACAAATTTTTAAGTGTCTTTTATGGAAATGAAATGGGAAATTGATACATTTCCTTTATTTAGAAATATGTCTAGATGTCTTTCAGGGTTAGGGTTAAGATATTTAACTTTGTGTCGTTATTTAAAAATCAAGAAAAATAAAAATAACTTATAATAAAATATAACTAAATTTAAATATGCTTGGTTTCATGGACTTTTTACATTTTATAAATTTGTCTGGAAATTTTTTACATCACAAGAATGTAATAGAAAAATAATTCCTAATTCAGACTCTGACTAATTTACTCGTAGTAAGTTTACTTGTGTGCTCTGCAGAAGCCTATCTCTTGTCTTGTACAATGAGACATGCCACTGAACACACTTGCACAGTAAATGATTTTGTGAAATCGATGGTATAATGTGCCTAAGTACCCAGGTGTTAGAATTGGAAGCATGTGAAGTATTCTTTTGGGCGAGAAAAATAAAGATGCTATTCGTGAACTCTTCAGATACAGTAGGGATTCAATTTCATAGGCTAATTTTTAAATTTTTTAGTGCTACACCTTGCATCAGAATAGTAAAATAAACAGCTGGGTGATTATACTTCAAACAGTCTCAGGATTTTTTAGCCTCTTTATTTCCTTTTCTTCTTTACACCACTATTCTTAATCAGCAGCTTCCATTTTCTTATTTTGCAATAGTGTGTGTCTTGCTTTCCTGGTGCTGGATATTACCAACTTGGAACTTCTGGCTGATTTTAGGTTAGCACTGTGTAGGAATAGATACCTCTCCTAAGAACTAACATTGAGCTCATGGTCTGCACGTTGTGTTAACACCTAGCTCCCAAATTCAATGTTTTTATAGAAAACCTAATATACTTATTATATATCTAATATACTCTTCATATTATATGCCATTTATCTCAGTTGTCTTCAGTGGGATCTTGTAAAATCGATAAACTCTGTAGAACTAAATGGATGATGGGAAATCCTATCAGAGGAAGAAGTTCCAGGGCGGAGTGACCAAAGAGTTTCTGTGGTCTTAAAATCATGAGACAATGTGGTGTCCAAAAGAATTATAGAAAGTAATATTTAAAAATAGGTGAATGTATGAAAATACGAGGCCTTCTTAAGTAAGCTAGCATTTGGATCAAATATCCTCCTTTTTTTTTGATCCGAGGATATATTATCATTTCTTAGGTACTTACTAACCATTGAACCAGGTACAATTTTTATTTTGCAAAATTCTTAGGTATTTCACATTAGTTTTAAAAGATTAATGTTGGGGCTTTTAAATAAATCTTTATATTATTATTGTTAACTTTATGTATATTAAAATGTTTATTATAAATATATATAATGAGTTAATTACATTTAAATTGATCATGATCGTATTTATGACATCTTCATCCTTTGATAAGTTTCTCCTTTAGACTCATTATTCTAGAATTTTTGTTTTCTTTTCAGAATGTGCATTTATATGTCTCTTGGTAATATTCTATGGCTTACTCAAATTCATATAAATAGGCATAATATGATGTTTGGCATATTCTTGAAGAATTACCCAGAAATTGCTTTCGTATTCCAAAACTGCCTAATTCCTGACAATTCATCCTGCTAAATTTAAAAATCTATTTTTCAGCAAAAGCCACTGTATAACCCAAGTAAAATTCACACCCCACTCACATAAAATATAATGTTGTCTAATCTCTGTTGCATCAATTTTTCATCAACTGTTTATTCCCAATGATGGTGATGAAGCACCTCCCCTTAAATAATGTTAATACTAAATATTGTTATACTATCCTATCACCAGGAAAATATTCTATCTTACTCAAATTCATATAAATAGGCATAATATGATGTTTGGCATATTCTTGAAGAATTACCCAGAAATTGCTTTCGTATTCCAAAACTGCCTAATTCCTGACAATTCATCCTGCTAAATTTAAAAATCTATTTTTCAGCAAAAGCCACTGTATAACCCAAGTAAAATTCACACCCCACTCACATAAAATATAATGTTGTCTAATCTCTGTTGCATCAATTTTTCATCAACTGTTTATTCCCAATGATGGTGATGAAGCACCTCCCCTTAAATAATGTTAATACTAAATATTGTTATACTATCCTATCACCAGGAATGAATAACAAGATGATACTGAGCTCCTTTGATAAAGTCATTGAAAAATTCTGCTTACCAGATTAAGTCATGCTAGAGGCATGATATGGAAATCAGATGAGCCGGGAACTGCTGATTTCAAAAGGGAAATCATTGCAAGAGCATTATTTCCCATGCACCCAGGGCTTCAAAACTTAATGTCAGGGCTCTTAGTTTTACTACAGTAATTATCTCTACATTTTTATTGCTGAAAGAGTTCTCCCTAGAGGACAATTTCTTTGCCACTCACCGAAGTCTCAGTAACTCAACACATGAATACTTTCAGAGGAAAATAAATTCAGGTTTTTTTTCCTTAATTTTCTTTTTCACATTTCAGGGACCTGACAACTGCACAAAGTGCTCTCATTTTAAGGATGGCCCAAACTGTGTGGAAAAGTGTCCAGATGGCTTACAGGGGGCAAACAGTTTCATTTTCAAGTACGCGGATCAGGATCACGAGTGCCGTCCCTGCCACCCAAACTGCACCCAAGGGTAAGCGTCCTTGTGGGTCGAGAGCTCAGCTTTGGGTGTGTTGCCAGTCAACAGGTGCACAGTGTTTTCATCTCTGGTACTGTCCCCTGCATTCAGAATATTCTCACAAAACTCTAGTCATTTTTAAATTTCATATGTTGGTTTTAAGGGAAATTTACGAGAATCAACATTTTACTTTCTGAAATATTTCTATTTACCATTTACCTATAACCATTCTATTGACATCTTCATAAAACTAATGTCAAGTGTACTTTGGATTCAGTATAGAAATACTTCCGAATTTTTATTATCAATTCAGACAAAGTAATTGAATTTTTGAGGTTTGTGATATTAAATATCAGGTTTTCTATTTCTTTCTTGTCACAGTCATCTTAAAGTAAGGATATCTCTCTTTGATGTGTATTATATTGGATTATTTCAACAAAATATGAGTGAATATCATGATGACGGGGAAAAAAGGAAGAACTTAGTGATTCGTATATTCATAAAATAATACATTTTTAAAGTAATTTTTGCATGTTTTTCTCAAACATAGAATTTATTTAACTGTAATAGGACCATTAAATGATTGGTACACATTTTTCTATCTTTCAAAAGGATGTGTTATGCAATGTATACTAATTAGATTACCTACTATATTGATGAGTTAAATAACAAAGACACAAAGAACAAAAACACTGAATTTAAAAGAAACAACATTACTTATTTAGCAAATTCCAAGAACTATTTATTTAAAGAAATAAAACTGATCTTAGTATAGATTATTCTTTTTTTTTTCTCCAAAGGGTTTCACATATTCTGTTCTCCTTCTGTCCACAAAGCTTTTTCTCCATTTGGAGTGTCTGCTTGCATGTACACAGGCACACACACACACACACACACACACACACACACACAC